TATCATTTGGCTTCTGTTGAGTGACAGGGGTTCAGACACTAGCTTGAAGGGTGTCTAAGGGCCAGAGTCTCAGGGGTTCTACAAGTCTTCATCAGACCAGTAAGCTCTGCCTTTTTTTGATGTTGAGTTTTGTTCTACATTTCCCCCCTCTCTACCTGGGACTTCTTATTGTAATCCCGTTAGGAGTCAGCTGTGGTAGCGCGATTCCATCTAGTTCTGGTCTCAGGGTTGTGCAGGCAGGTGTTCACCTGATCCATTAGTCCTTTGGACAGACTGTTTCCTGAGTCTTTCATTTTCTTCACTCTCCTTTGCTCTGGACAGTGAGAGACTAATAGTTGGCCCTTACATGGCCACTCACTAGCTTTTAAGACCGTAATTGCTAGGGTTTTAAGACCCTAGTGAGAAGGGTGTAATTCAGCGAGAACTGAGTTACATTCATTCAGTTTTGTTCAAAAAGGCTTTATGAATTTCTCTTTCGCCATCACTTAAAAGACGTTATTTCTACAGAATACTAACTCTCATCAGAGCCTTCAGCGAGTAGTATTCCTTTTGCTGGTGGAAGGTCTTGCCTCCATGGGAATGGCTCCTGACTGACAGGGCAGTGATGCCGAAGGTGAGGGGGCAGCGGCAATTTCTTAAAATAAGACAAAAATGAAGTTTGTCCATGCTTCCTTTCACTTCAACACTTAGAGGTCATTGTGGGGTTACTGCTGGGCTTAATTTCAATATTCTGTCTCAGGGAATAGGGCGACCTGACGACAGAGGCAAAGACGGGAAACGGCCAGTCAGTAGAGCAGTCAGAACACACTATTGATCGATTTCATTCGCTCTCCTCTGAGGAGCCAGGCTCACTCCTGTGAGTGACGCTTCCATTCTCCCTGGGCCGAGTGTGAGTTTTCCACTAACTCTGAGGACTTCGACAAGAGGAAAACGACTACAGAGGAGGAGTTGAGGGGAAGAACTGAAGTGCGACTCTGGGAGCCGCCTTTGATCTCCCAGTGTGTTTCCCCGGGAGTAAAATGAGGCTGAGCACAGGGCTGCGCGGGCGGCCCTAGGCCAGGCCTACATGGCGCTCACGGATGGTGAGGTGTTTGTTTCGGAGACTGGCCCAGGAAATCAGCTAAATTTCAGAGCAAACTGCTCAGTCCAAACTCACTGTTTCAACCAGCGCGCTGTTCCTCGGCAAACAGCCACCGGCAGCTCGTTCTTGCGTCATCTCGGCGTTGAGGGGCGGGGCCGGAAGTCGTCTGCGCCAGGTGCCTGGCAGGGTTCTCCTGCATTTGTTCTTGGACGAGTCGGTCAAGCGGACACTTGCCCAGGGAACCACTACTAGTGTGATGAAGAGGTGTTTTCAGAAGAGAGGCTGGACGAGCTGTGGCCAGAATGGCCGTGTCCGGTAAATGAACCGCGTGGCTCGGAAGCAACTGTTGTGACGGTCAATGGAAGGCCCAGGCCGCGATCGTTGTGAGGACAGTTCTGGCGTCGTTCTGAGGCCGGTGACTGACAGGGCCGTGGAGAGCTTTTTCCGGCGCGGTAAGGAGCAGCAGGACCCGTTGGGGCTATCGTTAGGGTCAGAGGTGGGGTTCGCTTGGCAGGGAGTGGGTGGCGGGGCGGGGGCTGCGCCCTGGCAGGTGAGCGCCTGCGCGTTCCGGGTGTGCGGGTTTCGGAGACGGTGGCGCGGCTCCGGGCGCGAGTCTGAGGTGAGGCAATTGGGTGAGCCCCGCCTTGAATCCTTGAGTGTGCGGCACGCAGCCCGTCAGTCCCCGCGTTGGGGTTTGTGCGCGAGTGACCTGGAACTTCGGATTTGTGTGTTGAAGGCGATGGGATTAGTGTGGGAGCGGCCGACGCTGGAAGCAGAGGCAGAGGGCTGCTCCGGGGTGCGTCGCGGGGCTGCGTTCTCAGGGGCGGTAGACGCACAGCCTTGTCGATGGGGGCGCGCGGCTAGATCCGGGGGGCAGCGCTCGCGGCGCTCGTCGGGGTTCGTTTGGTTTCAGTGAGAGCAAGAGACGTCCCAGGTGGTGGTTGAGCGGGACGGGAGGTTCGGGGGGTCTCAGGAGCTGCCGTCCCCGGGTTTCTTGCGGGCGTGGGGAGGTGCGCTTGACATTAGTGTACGTCCCCCGGGAGTTCGTGGGAGAGTGTCGCATGGGGAGTCCCTGGGACTTAGAGTGAATGGGGGAGTTTGGGCCTGGGACTGACAGGCAAACGTGGCCCCGTGGGGCGGGACTGCGCGTCTAGGCCCTGCATCTGGGCGGCCTTTTCCTGAGCGGGGGCGGGTCTGGTGTGGGCCCCGCTGTCCCCTGGTCGCCGGGTGGCAGGGGCGGGCCCTCCTTTGTGAGAAAGATGTGTGGTTCAGTGGTAGTGTCCCGGCCTTGTGGCCAATTCCCCTTCCCCTGTCTCTTCTGCCTTCAGTGTTGGGGTTCAGCAGGGCGCCTCTGGTTTGGGGCTGAGGGGGGTTGGGTGTGTGTGCGCGGGGTGACCTCTGAGGGCTGTTGGCTGACTACTCAGATCACTTGCAGCATGTCTGGTGGGGGCCAGTTATCAGGACTTTGATTTTGACCTTTTATGAAGGACAGATTTAAACTTGGTGGAATAGTACAGTGGGATCCCTGGGCCCATCAGCAGATGAACATTCATTGCTTCGCAGCCAGTCTTGTTTCACGTGTATCCCATGACCCCTGTGTGTGGATACACTTGGAGAACTGTCACACTCCACAGGATGTGTGTGTGGGGGAGCAGTGATAACTGCTGACATTATCACTCCCGTCTCGGCTAAATGTGGGCTGTACACGGGTCCAGTTCATAATCTCTGGACTGTAGCAGAGTCGGTAACTCTGCGCCTCAGTTTACCACAAGACCTAATTCAGGGGACTTGGGGAGTAGATGTGTACAGTGTCTGGCATTGTTGCTGATATGTAGTAAGAGTGTAGTACGTGGAAACTGTTTTTACTAATCCATCTCGTACCTTTTAGGCACAGAAAGCACGAAGTCTCTACACAGTGTCAGGTAGATGTCAGGGCAGACTGTATTCTGATGGAAACACTTGGCTTTTGTGCACCAGAAGCTGCCCACAGGCTTCTTCTCTGTGAAGGTTCTGAGGCTTTTTTTGCTTCTTTTTAATGAAGTGGAGGCCTCCTCATTTGAAACTTGGGAATTTTGAGCCTGATATCTGGGGACAGAGAGAAACAGTCATTTTAGGCTCACACTGCTTGTGTCATTCCTGGGTCCACCTTACATTGCTGCCTGTCCTGAGAGGACTGTGTAGAGAAAGGGAGCACTCCTGGCACCTGACAGACCACTTATGGGCGGGTACCGCTTACCTGTTAGATACTTGCAGCATCCCATCTTCTCCCATCGGTGGCTGAATTTCCTTTGCGTGTCCTTGGCTTTTATCAATACCCTATTTGAAGCTCAGAGGCCCAGTGTCCTTTCCCACATACCAGGTCTATTTTAAGGAGAACAGCCGCTACAAGGAATGTGACTCCCAACCAGGTCTCTTATTCACATTACCTCCATTCTTGCCGAAGCAACATTTCCTCCTGATAGCTGCAAGACTGTGCCATCCGCTGTGAAAATGGACCTGATAGTTGCTGTCACTTATTGGGTGGTTTTTCTGTGCAGACACTGCACTTTACATTCCCTGTGATACTTGCTTTCCTCAGCAACTTTGAAACTTGGCAAAGTTCCATTTTAGAGAAGAATTAGCAGCACATTTGTTGTTGTTGTTGCTGTTGTTAAGTGCTGTCGAGTCGTTTCCGACTCATAGCGACCCCATGCACAGCAGAACGAAACACTGCCTGATCCCACGCCAGCCCCACAATCCCTGCTATACTTGAGCCCATCATCGCAGCC